GGCAGGCAACTGCAGGGATGGGGCTGAAGAGGGAGAGGCTGTAGGTCTCAAAGCAGCACAAGGGCTACCTGGGGAAAACCCACCACCTATGTAGCCAGAAAGTCCCATCCTTACCAGCCAGGACATTAAGGCTCTGTCCGTACAGACAGAGTGTGGCCACCCCACCGCTAAGAAGAACAGAAAGCTATACTCCCGAAATGATAAAGCAAGGTAGCGATGGCAGAACTACACTTAGAGCTCACCTAGCATCAAAGCCTTTGCTCATCTTCCTGAAACAATTCCCTTTTTTCCCCACTCCTCTGAGATCACGGGAAAAGCAGCAGTTTCACAAGGTCTGATAGCAGAGCCAGAGCAGCCCTTTTTAAAATCCCAGAACTGCCAACTTCAGTTCCTCTTCAAGTGCCTAAAGCACCCATCAGCTGTGAATATGAAGCTTCTCTCCAAGTAGATACGTGGAAGTGTCCAAAGAAATTCAGCTTGGGGCCTGAGGTGTTGTCAGAGTTGGATCTTGACTCAAAATGTAGTATTAACATGCTGTTTAGTGGTCTGGATGTGTTTAGCTACCAGACAGCTGTACCTGGTCATGCAGTAGATGTTCTGTTCCTATATGCCACCTTTTCACCTTCTTCAGCACCGGTTTGGGTAGAGCACTGGACAACACCACCCCATGTTGCCCTCATTGCCACACAAGCAACCCAAGAGCAGAACAGCAGAAATTAGTGTAGGCGATACGGATGCTGTTGCTGCCGGTATCCTCCATTTCCACTAAAGGAGGATGTCTTGGCTACAGTCACAGAAAGGTTAAGTTATATTTACACTAAGCCAAACAAATTTCCTTCAAACGAAAGGCAGGAGCTGCAGTGAACTCCAGGGAAAGCCTGCGGGGTGCATGGCTTTGATTAAACAGAGACTTCAGGAAGAGTTGCAAATGTACAAACTAGATCTCGCTTCTTTGCGCTTGGATTGTCAGTCTTGGTGTGAAAGCAACTCCTCCTTCAGTGTTGTCACTGAAGGGCTTGATAAAGGATACACCCAGCACTGCAACACAGCAGCCATTATCTTACTTCTGCCTGACACCTTCCACCTAAGAGAACCCGTAGCACCTCCCCTGCTACTCCCAGAGACTTGGATAACATCTCTCACCACTGAAACATGGGTCTCAGCCAAGTTGGGAAGTGGTGACACTCAGACGATATGCTGCTGCCACCACAGACACAAAGTAAGGGAGGGTTTAAACACAGCAATGCCATGGCCAAGGGTCCCCGAGAGCCATCTTGTTAACACTGTATACAATCAGGTTGAAGAAGGGGAAGTTAATGAATAGCAACTTACAGAAGACCTTTCTGGATGAATCCAGGCGACTAGGAGACAGAAAGGAAGACACAAAGAAAAAGATAATGGCACCAAGCAAGGACACCTCAGCATGGACCTAAAAGGCTGCAGGAAAAACCATCAGCTTCAAAAGGACCTTATTTCTAAAGAAAATGTATACTTCTGCCAGGCTGGGTCCTCAGAGATCAGCTTCTGAAGGGGTTCTCCCTGAAACATTGAAGACGGACATTTCTGAGCTAGGGGAAGAGGCTATGCTTGTCAGCCCACAGTGATGGGATGCTGGGGGGAAGAGAGTGGGCAGTGACAGAAAACAGCTGGTAAGGTCTGTCCCTGTGGAAGAAGGCCTAACACCCGATAAAGACATTGTCCTTTTCATTGCTGGAAGACTGGCATTATGGCAATGATTTTGCTCTAAATAAATACTTCAGGAAGCCTGGTCACCCATTATTGGTACAGCTACTAGAAGAGACAGCTTCAGAGGGACTGGACACTGGACAACACACCAGGGACCTCAGTATGAGACTTGGCTGACTCCAGTAGTCACACAGCAGAAAAGCTGTATGACTGAAGACTAGAAGCCTGTGCAAGGATATAAACCACAATTAGAGCAGATTGGATCCATCCTGACAATTGTAACCCAAAGACTATTCTTATGCAAAGGCACAGATGTTACACAAGTGAAAAAAAAAAAATAATTGAGATTAAAATCCACCCTGGAACTGTTTTCACAAAATCGTAAGTTATGTGATAAAGGTCATTACAGAGATCTTGAGGATCCATCATGTGTCTCTTGGTTGAATAATGACCACAGCCATCTGTTGTGGCTTCCTCCATCCTCCTCTAGCCCATCACTAGAGGGAGCTGCCATTACCTCATTTCTGTCAGCCCCTACCTGCCCAGCCAATACTTTTTAGCATTTATTTTACCTAATTCTCACGGCTTAGGTGAGTTGCACTTTCCTGTACAGCTTATGGTGAGAAATGGGTACCTTCAGGTTCTCCGTATTCTAAAATGCACATCTCAAGTAGGTCAGATAAATTGCATTCTTTAGGTATCTGTTTCTCAAGTCCAGGGCGGCTAGCCTTGGTGTTAAAGATGAATCCTACCATAGTCACCTCGAAAAATGACTTTGCTTCACACTAGGTACAATGTTCAGCACAGTGGTCACTTTTCTGGAACTCATAGACACTGAGCAGCATTTGTGTTACGATAGCAAGCAGCCACTCGGGAGAAAGCAAGCCAAAACCGTCTTATTTAGAAATAAAATCTGCTCCTTCTGCTTTGGCAAAGGGGATTTGCAATGTCTCTTTGGAGTCATTTCCCCATCAGAGATGCTTAGTTTCCTTGCATATTGTCTGGAGTCATCATGAGGACTACAAAACATTTGGGTGCATTTGTGTCTGGTGCCAGCCTTGCAGGTGATCTGTAGTAGGCACCGGGCTGGAGTTCTGCAATTTGAGCCCTCAGCAGATGATTCAAGGACGCACCACAACAACATACCCCTGCCCTCCCTCAGAGATATGAACCCAAAAGAGCATGATCCTTTAGAGATGCAGAGACAAACGACTGTCTAAATGGCAAAGGCAAGAAGAGACTCCTGAAGGAAAGAACGGGAAACGAAAGAGGGAAGGCAGAGGGAACAAAACATGGAGGAAGTGAGCAAACAAGATTGGGGACATAAAGAAAGAGGATGTATCTGAACACCAAAGGGGAGGTTAGTAGCACTGTACTTGCATTCAGAACCTGCATTTGGCTGTAGTCATGTACAGCTTTCATATATATCCAGGCAGATGCTAAGCAGTATGGGTATTTTCCCTGTTTACCATAGCCCTAACATCCCAGCCGCTGCACACCATGCCCACGACCTTGGTAGAACTGAAGTCAGCAAAAGGGCAACCAGAGCCACAAAGGCAACACCGGTCCTGTCCTCTGAGATATCTCTGTGGGTTCTCAGATGCCCAGTAACTGCTATGTTCTTATTGCTAGCTCTGCTGGACCAGCTCTAGGAGCATCCTCCCTTCTCTCTAGCCCCATCCTTTAAGAAACTTTGGGGAACTTTGTATCTTTGAGACTCCTTGCCATCTGCTGAATATGCCAAATCACTGGCAGGATCATACAAACAAGGAACCAGAGGGCATTAACCAGGGTAATTTGCCAACAAGAAATATAACTTCATGTCCATCTATTTGAAGCTTCATTGATCAATTCTCAAGCCATCAGAGGTGCATTCAGACTAAGCCTGCGGTCTAATCTAAGGCCCAGTACATGCTGGAGTTTATAAAATCCCACATGAACAAAGCACGATATAATACTAACTTGCTTTCACAAAGTCTGTCTCTTTCTTGAAATACCATCTCTCCAGATACCTGCTGTACAGACCTCAGCCCCCTGCAGTCATAGAAACGTAGAGAGTCCCACTGAAAAGGCAAAAGCCATACATTTCTTTTGAAGACTTGGATGACCAGCTTCACCTTCACATGACAAAGAGGAGGCAGGTCTTCTCATGCATTCTACTCTACTCCAGTCCCATTCAGCCCAGTGGAGGTTTTAGGACTGGCCTGGGTACTATCGTGGAACAAGCACAGCCAAGCACATTGCCTAAGCCCAGTGCTATAGAAGCAACTAAACACCTAGACTCTGGCATGGAAGCGCTTTTCAGGCCGTCTCTGTGACACGAGGCAGCTAGGTACCCCTATATGCAGGTAGCCGAGCTGAACACATGGCAGATACAAGGTGATGCTGGACACTTGGTAACTCCCGGCAGTTACTTGCAAGTATCCCCCTTCATCTCCAGACTTGAAGTTTAGGCTTTATTTTATTATAAAATCCTAGCACGCTGTCAAGAACTGTATTAAGATCCAGGTCATCCCAAGAGGTGGGGGAGGCAAGAGGATTTCATAAAGCTAAGCCAAACTTACCAGTAAGCTGTAACCCGCACAGCTAGAGGCCAACAGCTGCTGTCCCACACCATGCCACTCATGACTCGTGGGCACGTATGTGTTAAACATCTGCAGCTGCCAAAGGCTCTGTTGAGGGACCATTTATATTTCTCTGTCTCAGTTGATGGTCTCTGCTACCCCTGAGGAACTTACAGCTTGACGCCACCTCCCAGCTTCCTGTAGGCACGCTATACAGAGGATATCTTTCCACGCCAGCTGCAACACCACCATCTGGAAAGAAGCCCAAGGTACACATTTTGCTATCAACTGGCCTGCACTGCAGCCACTTTAGACAGAGCATGCACCGGTTTGAAAAAAGAAGCAACTTTGCCAAAGCCTGTCTTGGACTCCAAAACCACTTCTGCCTCAAGCAACTTCTTGTTGGAAAGCAAGTCACCTCCTTGCTGTACTATCGTGGTGTCCTTACGTGGTTGCTGGCAGTGGGTGAAATCCCAAATTCAGCCATTGGCAAGGTAAGCACAAAATTTACTTCCAACACTACTGATTTTCCCCTTGTACCTTGGAAATGAGAAACCTCAGGAAGGATTCAGAGATTCAACATCTGATGCCCAGGTTTTAGAGCAGATATTGAACACACTCCTAACTGTGACTCCTGGCCCTAGGTAATCAAAAGGAAACTCCCCCAACAAAACCATTGACTTACAGTGGGGTAGAAACATGATAGAATCAGAAAACAATTACATTCCCCAAGTCATCGCACCAATGTAGCCAAATATTTAAAACCTACTGTAAAATAGAGCTCATGGTTATTTTACAGAGTAAGCAGTGCTGGAAAGAGGACTGTAAGGTTTACATTTGATACTCTTGCCTCAACAACAGTGTCTGCGTAAATGCAAGGTACAAGGCAAGAACTGCCCATAGCTCAAACATCCAGACCCACAGCACAGACATAATCAAAAAGGCTCGCTCTTTATTTTAAACATAAAAAGAAACAATTTACACATCATTGTTAGAACTATTCGGTACCTGCATTCCAGAATTGTGCCAAACACTTTATTTTATAACCTGGAAATTAAAACAAAAGAAAGAAAATATCTTGCCCTTCTGCTTTTTGATGTTCAAGCTTGTCCTGGATGAAAATTCCAAGTGCCTGGAGAAATTTACCAGCTTAACCAGGAGACGTGGCAACATGAATAGAGGAAGATCAACGTGAGCCCTTAGGATACTTTGACAATACCACAGGTTGCCGCAGGGAGGATATGGATGCTTGCACTGCATCTCAGGCAGCTTACTCTCCTGATACTCGGCAGGTTTAATACACAACCGGATGCACGCACACCTCCACTCACACAAACCCTGATCACACAGGAAATAATAATAAAAAACATGAAAAGTGACCTAGATATTTTTGTTTCATTAGCGATAAGATTCCCACTCTATTTTAAAAAAAGGGGGTAATACAAAATTGGCACAAGTAGAAAGAAACCTGGGGGGTAAGTCTAGCCCCTCAGCTCCTAGCCTTCCAACTACAGCAAATACAGGGTGGAAGGGGTTGCAGCATTGCCTTCCAAGTGGCTGGCAGCAGTATGAGCTAGCAGCAAACTTGCTTCACTTGGAATGACAAAGATGATTTGTTATGGGCCACGAAGGAAAGTCAGCATTAGCTAAGGACATGGGGACCTTTCACTACAGAAGGGAGCTCTGACCAGAATAACCCTGAGTTTTTTCCAGCAGGGAGAAAGTGTGCTATGTTGTGTGCTTGGGAAGAGCTGGCGGTTCCCTGCTTGTTCGTTCCCTAATTATTGCATTACAGTCATGATCCTCTCTCCCGAAAACTTAACCAGGAGCACAGGAACAAGGAGTCAGTCTGCAAGGACAGAATGTGACTGACGCTGTGCTTTGAACTTCACCACCACTACCCACCCCTCCCAAGATGCCCCAATGCCACAAGCCTCGCATGAAGAAAGAAGATGTTAATGCATGAAAGAAGCTGCTAGATCAGTGTGGGAAGGACAGCCAGTATACCAAGCATCAGAATGGTGTTTCACAACATCCACGGAAAAAGCAAGATTTTACTACAGCAGACAGGAGAGGAAGAAAAATTCTTGCTGTGAAAGTACTATCTGAGTGAATCCCTTCCTCAACTCCCTTCCTTTGGAAAGGATCGCTACAGATTTCTGGGCTTTCACAACAAAAGCTAGACACTGCTTCTGCCCTGTTCCCTCAGCAGAAGCAGCTACATCTGCCTGTAACACAGTCCTTTTCAGAGCTCTTCCAAAAAGGAAAGTATCAAACCAGAAAGAAAAGTTGCTATGAATGTTCAGGCCAAAGTCTTCCAGAGGTTTATAGGTTTTGGGTGTTCCAGTCTTGGAACACTATATGAAATGTCTTAGAGAATCCAATAATAAGTTGCAAGCCCCAATTATGCAAATCAAGTCCATTTTGAAGATCTCTCACATTCAGCTTCCAAAAACCATTGGACACCTTTATGCATACATATGTACACATATGTGACTGCATGTGTGTTCGGCTGTGGAAAGCAGAATAGCCTTCTAGAAAAAAAACCCTCATGTCAGCCTCAGAACAAAGGTCACAATGCAAGACAGGAAAAAAAAAAGAACCCGCACAAAGAAAACTTACCGCAAAAAAAAACTGATTTTGGAATAGCTATAGTGTTGAGTGCAAGGTTCCACAAACAGTAATTCTAAATGAAGCCTTCATAGCACAGACCTGCAGCTCCCCTGGAATTTGCAGTGGGATGAGATATTAGTGAAGCAGACCAAATACATAACACGAGTCTATGGCAACAGCACATCACAGCCACTACCTTCCATGGATGCTCTCCTTTAGCATCTTTCCTTTTACCTTAAAAAAAATATATAAAAAATGCAAAGGATTGAGACCTGGTCTCAGCTCTACATTTCTCACCCTTCTTGATGCGAGCCAAACCCTGGCTGTGACATCAGGTTGCAGTACAGTCATACTTCCTTGTTTGTTTATACACAGTATCTTTATTCTGACTTTTATTGCTTAAAACACCAGCTGTGCTGGGAAGACAGGACTGCCTGGAAAAGAAGCTGCTCCCACTCAGGAGCCAGCTCACTGTATGTGGAAGACCAAAGCAGGACTTCTATACTATAACCTAGGAATAGGCCTCAAACCCAAAGCCCTGCTGCAGGCCCATGTACAAGACCAGGATCATTGGAACATGAAGGATTCTTGCTGCCCTCTTGGGCTTGCTCCTATTCCTACCCTGAGCTGCGTTTCAGATCTCGCACTCTGCTCACAGGTTCAAGGGTTACCACTGAGTGACCGGCAAAAGCAGCACTGGAGTCTGGTCTGTGCATTTGGCAATAAATAGTTTACAAGTCTTCTCTAAACATGATCAGTTGGCCAACTGCAGACAACGATCCACCTCATTTTTATTCTTTTTTTTCCTCCATAAGTCACACCATCACCAGTTGGGCAAGGTCTCCCACCTCCGCCAAGGCCAGAAGGTGGCCAAGCATCGTCCCTAGACACCACGTGCCCCCCTGCCCCAAGCAGAACAGGGTCTCAGGCACAACGTATTGGGGGGAAAAGAAGGTGGAAGGGTCAGGGAGAAGGTGGCCATAAGTAGACACCCAACAAATGCTTGTCTGAGGACTGATTCTTCAGGGTTGCCAAGTAAGTCCCTATTCACCACAGCTAAGAGCTTTGAGCACTGAAAATAAAATTAAAAAAAAGCTTTAAAAAAGTGTCTCAAAGACCTCCAAGCAAGTTACGTTTTGGGGTTAACTGCAAACCCTTTGAAAGCCAGGGGAGAGAAGGCATGCTGACAACCACAAACCAATTCTTTGCTGGAACAGTCTCACAAAGCATCAGCAGAGAAACCTTCTGTAGCCTTCAGTCCAATATAGAGAAGGCTGTGAGATACCAAGGTGGACAGAGAAAGGGAACAGGATGGTGTGATGGGGGTAGAGCAGAACTGTAGATTGGTTAATACAATTAAAGTCTAACACTTCTACCAGTCCCTTTCCCACCCATCGCCCTGCCCATCATGTTTTTATACAAGGACATCTTTTCAAAACCAAGAGGAGGGAAAACCCCAACAAACAAACAAAAAAAACCTTAGTGAATTTTGTCACAGGGCCCTGCTGAAAGAAGGCTCAACAGTTTGCACATTAGAAGGACACGATCCCTATGCAGAAAGTGCTGCTGGAAAAGGAGAACTCCGAGTCGCTAAATATGGCCTGAATGCTCTCAGGACATGATGTGTACCAAGGAGAAGCTTGAGGTCCAGGCTGAAATCAGAGAAGAAACACACCATCTTGCCTGGGCCTGTGAGCAAGTGTCTCAGCACAGTCCAAGAGTCCTGTGAGTCTCTCCTGAAATGCAAGTGTGTCTGGCTCCCATGCTCAGTCCATCTCCATCGACATTAGCCGGCGACGCTCTCGTCTTGTTTCCTGTACTTCCTTCTTGCAGCACCAACGGGAGCTGCAGTAGCCAATGAGGCAGGATAAGAGTCCAATGACAGTGGCCAGACCAATGCCAATCAACAGGGGATACTTGAAAGCATTCAGAACTGAAAGAGGAAGGCAGAGTCATTAGATATCACTGAGAAATTCAGAGATCCCCTTTATTTGTTCTTCCTAAGAAAGGAAAAAAATCCCACATTATTCAGTCATTGGCAGATTAATTATTTCAGAAAGAAATTACTCTGCTTTTCCTTCTTGATTTCTGCCTTTTGAGGTTTGGAAAACTAGTCTCTTACTGCACTCCCTTACCTCCTCACCCTAATTATTCCTCCACCATTTCAAAGGCTGAGGGAGATTGGAAGCACCAGAGGAACCTTAGAGTGAGACAGCAAATTAGAGCTAGTTCCAAGAGGTATTCCATTACCTGTTCCTCTTAACAGAAGCCTTGCAAAGTTTCCCCATCAGCGGCAGACTGGGGCTGCACTCTGTAGTATGTTTCCAAATGGCAAGGAGTAGACTGCTGTACACTTTGCTTGATTAGAACTACTCATAGAGAATATTCACTGCCTCTTAGCAACCCTGTCTTATAGACCTCCAAAGATGGTACCTAAACAGGAGATTTAATTTTTGGCACCTACCGCTCAGTTAAAAGGCAGGGTCAAGAACTGTAAGGAGTTTGGGAAGTACAGTTATAACAGTTATCTGCACAGCAGGGAGAACAAAACCTTCTGACTCCTTTCAAGTTTATGGAACTTCCCAATATGACCTTTTCTGAAATACTGAGAAGAAAGCAACTAGTTCAAAACCCCTCCTACATTAATTTTCCTCCTTAATTACATGCAGAATGCAGCATCTAGCATGCAACTTGCTTCTCATGAAATCTAGCAACATTTGCAACTCAGGTTGGAAAGCAGACGAGGCATTAAGTGCAGGGAGCAGCATGTCTTGAGGTGAGGAGAGAGAGGAAGGAGTCAGAGCTCTGACTTTCTGTTCTCAGATTTGATATTAAGCACAACGTGACTCTACTTCACTCATGACCCATCTGCAAACCAAGGCTTCCTCCTGCAGACAGCAGAGGGGTTAACACTTGGAAAGAATACTATGCCTTGACTGAAAGATGCCCCAGCTATGCAAAACATCACCAAGAGATGATCAGGAAAGAGAACATTCCAGTCTTATGAGTATGATCTGTTCAAGCCTACCTACTCTACATAATCTGGAATCAGAAGTTGCAAACAACAGAAAAGGATAACAAAATCTAATGAGATTATCACAGGCACCCTTAAAAATAGCCAAGGGGAATATTTGTCACAGAAAGACATAACACGGTGTTAAAAAAAAAAAAAAAAAAAAAAAGAAGTACTGAGTAACACATGTTGCAATCTCTTACCATCCATTTTCACAGATAGAAAGATGGGTTTAGCTTTGATGTCAGGTTCCCGCTGCCATACGCCAGTAGCAGATCGCACCCACGGGGTCACTACGCAGTAGTGGTTCCCAAAATCATGGTCCTCACAGCCATGCACACGGAGCCGGAATTCCAGTGGGCTGATTCTCTCCAGGCTGAGATCACTGCTCCCATTTCTCCTGCTCTGCGTGACAATCCCTCTCCGGTCCAGCGAGGCCAGCAAGACAGGCTCTCTGTCCAACGCAAATGAGCGTACAGCAAACCACGAGACATCAAAGGACATATCATCTGCATTTGTGGACAAAGAAGAATTTGGACATGTCGGTGAGCTCCGAAGAGTATTCATAGTGCCACTTCTCAGCAGAAAGGTTAATCTGCAAGCAGCATAGCCAACACTGGTCTGACAGTGGAAGAAAGAAAGAAAAGAAAGAAAAAAAAGAAAAAAGAAAAGAGTGCTCTGAACATGTCCTTTCTAGGAGGATTCAAACAGTGAACTGCAATGAAATACACTGGCATGAAGAACATAGCTGCACAGAAAGGGTGACTTACTACAGGGATGACAAAGAGGAGGTTTCTTGCTTTCCTGCCTGCCGTTCTAAAATTTATATTTCATCTATGATCTAAGTTTTCACCAAGCAGGCCTAGTGTCATAATAAGTTCTATAACTATGCTGAACCCACATTGAATTGGAAGAGCTAGGTTATTTGCTAGCAGAGAGTGACTTGCAATCACTATCTTCATGCAGGGCCTACACAACCACAAAGTCAGAAGTCTCTTTCCTGAGGACTCCTTCCTTACATTTCACCTGCCTAAATGAAAACAGAGATTCCACACAGAGCACAAAAAAAATTACCTAAAAACATACAAAGCATTCAGGAGCAAAGCCTGACCACAATGCTTTTATACTTTTTTTTTCCCCCCAGAGTTGCGGGTTACTGTCACACATCACCAGGCATCACGCCTTGTACAAGTTCTACCACCTAAGGACATATTCTACAAAATCCACTTACAACACCTTTAACATTTAACATAGCTGACAGGTAGTCAGAGTTCATCAACACATCTAGCTCTTCCTATGTTCATGCAAGATCCTATTGATCCCATTAGCAAATCTCAGTCTTAACCCTATTAAGCTGATGCAGCTGAGAATCTACTTTAAAAATCACTGCTATTCTTTGCTAACGTGAGCCCAGCAACACCTGTCAGAGTCTGAAACCTGGCATGACCTAAAGTATAGACAGGAAAGCCTGTTCACTTGTTTCATCAACAGGTCTTCCCTCCTGACGCGTGAGCAAACTGACAGGCCCAAACTGGAAACAGAGGTTACTATTTCTGTCCTGAGTTTTGGGTACTAGTAGAATGTGTGCACAGGGCTTAACCTTTTCTCACCTAAGACAGACCCAGTGATTTTGGCGTTATATCAAACCTTAATTTGCTAGTATTGAGATCTCTGAAAAATATAGTATTAGAAATCTGAAATTGAAAACTGATCTTTTGTCTAATTGAGTTTGCTCTTCTCAACTTCCACATTTCATCTCCAGGCTAATAGAAAAATTAAAGCCCTAAACCTGCTGCTGTACTCAAATTCTTCGCAGGTATAAGGGAGGACAATTTTTAAGCCTCTATCAGGCAAGCTAACATTTTGCGAAGGAAGGGAATCTTAAAATAATATTTTAAAGTAAAGTGAAGTAAAGGGACATCCTCAGCTCTGCTACTTGAAGTATAGCATCAGATGGCCAGGTGGAACATTCCCCCTTAATGCAAACAAAAACCACCCACTGTTTGGGGTGTAATTAACTCCCCTGTAAGGTGCACTGCTTTTACAAACATCTCCAAAAACCAAACAAAAAGATGAGAAAACGGATGTTACTCCCAGAGAAGCTGGCTGATAAAACTGTTTTGTAAGACCAGCCCGTTTCCTGCCCTACCTGCCACCGCCAGCTGCTTCGGGTGACAGCACAGAACTTCAAGAGAGCACCTTGCTGGTTTTGCCACCCTACAGGAGGAGTAGGTTTCCCAGGCATACACGAGGGTTAGTATATAAGTAATTTGGACCAGCAGCACTCACAACAATCACGCTTTCACTCTTGCCCATTATACTACAAGTACTACTACTAGTTACTTGGCATAGCTCTTGGACTGCTTCCCTTGAAAGCAAAGTTAATAAAAATTACCATAAACACATGTTCAATTAATGGGACCAAACTTTGACCTCTGCTTTGTGTACTCATCCAACTGTGGGAAACAGGGCCTCTACTGGAGAGAGCTCTGTTTCTATAAACTACTCTTTGTCTCTGCTGGCTGTTTATGCCAAATAAGGTAATAGCACCGGTCCACAGGCAGTCGTGTTGGGAACGACCAATTCCTTCCAAAGATCATCAAGATTGCCATTAGCTCTTGTGTTTCCAGGTACCATAGGAGCATAGGGACACCTTCCAGGCTAACTCCAACTACGCTGAATACACCATTGCCCTTCCTAAAAAGGGTTTAAACAATAAATTTAGATATTAAGAAAAATAATCGAGCTTTGTGATTCCCACGCAATTTGCTACCTTTGAAGAATTCCTTCTTTTCAGTCTCAGTTAATTTGAGGTTCCCTTCCCTCCACATACAAAGATAAGTGCAAGCACTTGCTGTCACTTTGAAATAGCTGAATCTATCTTCTGTGGTTACAACATGGGACAACAATATTATGCCAACATATTTTATTAGTCAGTATACACAGTATGCAATTAGTGACTCACTACAGACAGTAAGGGGGAGGATTTGGCTCTGAGTACTCTTTGTCACTATCCCCCTTGAAATAGCTTAATACAGTAAAGTCATCTGATTCATTTCTGTATATCTCTGGTTTTCATGCAATAAAAACACAGGAAAATTTAGCAAAACCAGGACATAAATCAGCTGCTCTCTAAAGATCCACGATGAACATGCCTAGCAGCTCCCAAGTGCTAATAAATATGTAGTTTTACTAACATAAAACAGGTAACACACTAGGCTTCCCAAAAGCATCTGCACCATTCCACACATGCCTTGCATCAATGTTGACAAGTCACTCTCACAATATTTGTCCCCAACCTACCAAAAAAAAAAAAAACAAACAAAAACCCAACCCAAGCACTAGAATAGCACTAACAACACTACAAAGGTTTATTTCATGGGTTCCTTCCATGCTCCACAGTGTTGTAATGTAGAAGGCCATCAAGGACCTCAGTGCCCCAGGTCGTGCAAATCAGCTGCTGTCAGAGAGGAACACAAAGCATGGACGCTTCAGAGCTCTTCCAGCAGAGTAATAGTGGTGCTATGCTTCCTCCCCTCCTCAGTTAGTAAGGATCATCAACATGTAAAGCACATCTTTATGCACATTTCAATTTGACACACAGGACTAAGCTGTCTGGGTCTTAGCTGCTTCCCTGGCCAATCGCTCCTCAAAACAGCAGATCCTATTTCTAGACCAGCTCTTAGGAACCATGCACTTCCACTGCTTAGAATGGAGCTCTCTCAACATCTTGTTACAGTGCTGAATCACAATTTTGAGACCCTTTTTGTTTACTACATTTAAATGAGGTTGAATAGGGCTTCCTAGAGAGCTGAGCAAACCACTTCAAGCCATACAAGAGGTAAACAAGCTGGTTTTGTTAAATTCTCCAGAGTGCCCACTGGGTCTGTCTGGAGCAGATAAAAACCATCTCCTTTCAGGCACAGTAAGTAATACTTTTAAATCCCTAAGCACATAGCCCAAGAAGGGGTGATCTGGGAAACCTAGAGAGATCGTTTGTGAAAATGTGTATTCAACAGAAATATCAGAAGTAGCTTTTATATCTTCAGGGCACAGAAGAACTACTATTCCCCCCTGACACACACATACTCCCCTCATATCAATTCAAAACACTAACCACAGCTGCCAAGCCAAAGAAGCATTTCTTTAGATGGAGTAGCTGCTGCCATGTACTGAGCTTAGTCATACACACTCCATTTCAGCAGGGTCTCAAAGAAGCAGAGGAAATTAAAGCACGCAGCAGTCACGACAAAACCTTTTCCACCCTTTTGAAAATTTCCCACAGAGTGGGTACACACAAGCACACACACACAGAGTATTGTGAATTGCCTCCACCAGACAAGGGTCCAACCCATAAGTAACACTTCCAGAAACAAACAGACTGATCTAACTGTAACAAAGAAGGGCACTGACAAAGATCATTGGTCATTTAACTCTTCCTCAGCTCCTTGGCAGTACTTTGTTTTTCTGATTGTGCATACAAAGAGGCACCTAACACCTCAACTTATTACAGGAAGCATGCATGCTAATCCACATGTGTGCTTCCAAAGTTGAGTGCCTGTATATACAAGAGCAGAGCTGGCTGGCATACCAAGTGTGTTCAAAGTGTTTCGGATGCACATTTAGCAAGACATCCTGTGAAATTCCCTGATCCTTCTTTGCTCACAATAGGGACCAAAACACAGCGCTGCAGCAGGTCTGACATCAGGAAAGAGGTGGCCTTTGAAAGCCATCATGCCCCTCAGAAGAGAGCCAAATGCAATTGCTCTGCTCTCCTTTCTCATCACATTCCCAAATGGAAAGACTGCGTCTATACTGCTGTCATGTGTTTTCTTTTAAGATATGTTGGCAGCTCTTGCTCTGTTTACCTGATTACCTGGTGTAGGCTTTCCCTAACAACATGCCTCATTTTCCCACTGGCATGAGACAGCCCTGTTATTTTAACAGTCTTTCTAATGTTTGGCTCTCTTTTAAAAAGCAAGTTCTCCATTCCACATTCCAGTTGTGAATTAAATTGTGATACTGACTCAGCATAGAGACAGATCAGAGATGGGACACAGGGAAATAAGGTTATTACTGAGGAACTACATCTTTTTGTTATCATACGAGCCCTTAAGGCTCCCCTTCTTCACCTAACCTGCGCCATTACCATACTGCTCTAGTCCCCTCCATCTCTCAAGGCCAAGAAAGCAGACTGACAAGAGAAGCCTGAACACCCTACAGCTGTTGTATAGATTCTAGCTGTTCCCTGCAGCTCTTCTGCTGGTCTCATCCAGAGCACCAGCAAGGACTGGAGAGGGGACAGCTTCTCAGACCTATATGAAAGGCCCAGGTGGGATGTCTCCACACAGCATGGCTGGTTAGGCCCCAAATCCTGCTCATTCAGCAACCGGAAGCTCAGAGTGCAGACTGAAAAGTTCCCTCAAAACCTGTCACAATACCACACTTTACTCCATTCTAGGTGTATCTGTTGCCTGTGCCTCATCTGTCCCATTACAGACTCAAAAAAAAAAAACCAACACAAACCCACCCAAAACAACCAAAAAAAAAACCCACAAAACCACAGAGGCAGAGATCTGCCATGTTACAGATAACATTACTCAGCTATGGAACAGATTACAGTGCTGACATTTAAAACTGCACTGGCTGCTCATGACTGCTGGAAACAGCATAATTTCCAACTCCAGGCATCATTTATCAATTCAACAGACATCCATGAACGCTTATGAAGATGCCCAGTTAAAACTTAATGAGCAGCTCCTTGAAGAGGACACCTTTTTAATTCGATCCCTTTGATTATCCTTATCATGTCAGTGCTTCTCCCAGTCTCAAGATACTAAACAGACAAAAAAACATCACAAACCCAACTGCAGCGGAGCACTGACAGGAGAGCCCTGAAACTTGAAAAGTGGCCTCTTTTTAAGTTTTAAATGAGTCAGGGATGCTGAGGCCTCTTCCACAAGGCAACCCCATGCTTATTTTAGCTGTTGAACACCAGTAGAAGCAGCAGCTGCTCCCTGCCAGCAATTATTGCTTTGCAAAGAAAGCCAGCTGCTTTGGGTACTGCCTCACAACAGTACCTGTAAGAGCTTGGGCACACCTCAGCTTAGAAGAGGCTTCCTGCTGAGCAGAAACCACAGGACAGACTGAGGTATACGCACAGGCATACATCACTGTTTACTATGTCCATTATCCCAGGCTATGAATCTTTTGACAGCAATAAAGTTTACTCAGCTTTTCCTTCCTACCGATAATTTCTATAATAATATAATCTACAGACTTCTACCATCTTTTCACAGGTATCACACAACTGTAACAAATTGCTTCCCCTTTACACTCAGATTTAATGTAGAATGTACATCCTGGAACTTCAAAGTGATGGGCCTTTACTAAGCTTGGTACTTGATCTCATCAGCTGCTACAATATAAGTAATATTTTCTGCACAACACCTCTTTTGTAGTAGCTTACGTGTAGATTTCTAAATTTTGCATGAATCATGACATCCTTATATTTAAGTAGGTATATACATTTATATATTTCTATTTACATGCATATTTATAGATTTATTTTAAATATATTTTTACATTAATATGCATAGAATGACTTCTTAAAAAACCTAAACTCTCTCCAAACCCAATTTTTGGGTATAATAACCAGAGTTATTCTCACAGCATTTTGATGAAAAGCAGCTCAGAAAATGTTTGGCAAGCAGCTAGGTTTTGAGCAATTCTCTGAACTTTTCAGCTTTTCATAAATATTTGCCTTTAAAGTGTCCACTAGCCTTTTCACAGCAATTAGGTGTTTTGTTTCTTTCTTCTTCCACACAGAAAAGGAGACTCACCTCCGGCAGCATCAGCAATAAACATTTTGGCATTTAGGCTGTAGTAGTCAATTATTTTGACATTTAGATTTACATTAAGCCTTAAATTCACACTGAAGTGTGAAGCTGACTGGCCAAGTGACTTTAAGATTTCTTTACAGATGACCATTTTCTCCTAACAGGTTTTGCCAATAGACCTCCTTTCCAAATAAAGGAAACAGAAATAGTTTTCATGGCCCGTCTAATGGTGATAGGCTGAGATTACCAGCAATGGGGTCAGTTGGTACAGCCAGCACAGGGGGGAGTTAGCAGCAAGAACACTTTTTTCCCCTCCTCTCAGAATGTGAAACAAAAAAAAAAATCTTGTTTGAAATTGGGCTGTGTAAGCCAAACATGCTCTCTTATATTTATCTATTTCTATAGGATTTTCAATGCTGCTTCTCAATTCTCCAGCCTCACTCAAAGGTCATAGGGTTGTAACTGCTGGTATTATTCTGCCTGGTGAAGGCAAATGCATTACAAGTACAATAATTTTGCCAAAATACCTGGCTCAAGTGCCATTCCTTCCGTTGTGACGATACACAGCAAGTCTGCCAGTTCACCCTGGTAAATCGTCGGGTTGTCAGAATGCACCGAGACATTAAACACAGGACCTAGAAAAGAGTAACCACAATTATTCATGACAGGCTTTTCTTCAGTGTCCAAAACCTTTCTTGTGTGTTTCTGAAGTATTCTTTACTAGTTTGTGGAGAGAGAGCTCTGAAGTAGGGAAAAGCAATCATGCAAGTTTTTGCAAAATAACCAACCATTTTTAGCCATTAATTCCTGCACCAAGACAAAGTACTCAAAACTACCAGACCTGTCACCCAACACAGAGGCTGCTGCCCAAGTCTGCCTTCTACTGTCCTGCACAAAAGGAGCCAGTTTCCACTGGTGACTTGTCTAAGAGCATGAGTTCAGGTCCTCAGGCTAACCCAGCACTGATCTTTTTGGCTGAGATTGTCAATAGGAATTCAAGTTAGAGCAAACCACTATTTTAACAACACGTAGGGTTCTGCTACAGAACTGAAACAGAGACAATACAAGAAGTGCATCTGACAACACTTTGCTGTGGGTTTTTCTTCAGGCTCTGCCACAGATAGCTTCTTCTGTAGAAGATGTCTCAAAGCCCAAGAGTACAGTAACTCCTTCAGTTACAAAGCAGTGATGATATTGATGAAAACCACTACTCTGTTATGAAATGCTCAGACACCAGGAAAACATGTGGTGTTTGACTTCTGAGGTATATAAGTTAGAAAACAAAACTTCCCAAATTTTGACAATAACTACATCTCTGGTGCAAAATTAACAAAACCACAACTCCTCAGATATGCTGACACTGCTAGTACTCTCTTTCACATGGCAGCAACTGAAGAATGCGTCAAAATGTCCTTAGTGATTTCTCTACTGAACAAGCCAAAGGACACAAATAGGAGAAAAGCTGATGCTAATGATGGCCTCTGGGATGGCTCTGGGGGAAGAGGCCAGGGAACCCAAGAAGGAACTTGAGACTCAGATTAAGAAGTAACCCTTTTTACCCCTCCCTGGACTCCATTAGCTGCTATCATTACCCGGATTGGCTACTTCTGGGACAGCAGCAGCAACAATCAGCATAGAAAGATGGTTTGGGACAAATGAAAAGCTGTTGGAACATTTGCCCTTCTCCACTCTTACGTGCTACTGTTTTAGTACAGGAACTGTAAATTTCAAATCCACTGAAGATCAGTGGCAAACAATGCTTTTGATAGAGAACATTTAAGGAAATCAGACAAGACAACCGACTTGTCCCTTGCCCTCCCAAATTGTTTCTGTGGAAAGCTATGTTGATAATTCACCACACTGCACACACTTATCATATCACTACCAAACTAAGGTTCTGGAAAGAAACTTGGATGTGCCGTGAAGCTAAAGTTATCATTTTTGCTGAAACTATTCTAGACTACAAGGGCCCGGCTTGTTTTGCTCAGCAGAGATTACACAGCACAGAGAAATGAATTGCAATTACAATGCAATAATTAGTTCTGTGGCGTCCAAAATTCCACCCCCAATTTTCACTGGGCACAATGTGCTGCTCTTTGTTATACCATAAATTTCTTACAGCCCTCTTCTCTGCCCCAGAAGCAGTTGTACTTTGTACACAAGGGCAGTATGTAGACATATAATCCCAGAAGTTTATACCTATTTTGACACTAGAAGTCCTCTCTTAAAAATTAAGATTGCAAGTTACCCCACCAAGCAAGGATAAAAGGGTGGTAGGGATGCAACAGAGGTTACATATGGACTACCAGCTGAGACACCTACATGCTTATACTGGAACATACTTAAGGAAATAAGAGACCCAGAAAGCTCTGAAGTTCAGCTGTTCAGGTAAGTGACTTCATGAGCAGGCTCCAGCCCTAGGGAACTAAAGGCAGCATGGACCAGGCACTCCAGCCAACTGTAACCAGAAAAGTCTCAAGCTGTGTGTGAACTGCCACAGCAACAGAAACAAAGAGACTGTCAAAATCTTCCAGGAATATCCCTGAATTCCCAGCACATACCCTCTGCTGCACTGATTGAAGGCAAAATAGCACCATAATAATCCTGGTACTGTCTATAGCTCGGGGTCTATCCTAAGTTCCAGCAGCAAGTTAGGTGACATCGTGTCAGGAATATGGGACATGCTCTACTCCAGCAAACAGGCTCTGTCCTGGCTAGATGCTGGCAGTGACTGAGCAAGGGAGATAAACTGCATGATCCCAACTTTGTCAGGCTAAGGATGGGCTGTCTTACCCCCGACCTGGCAGGGTAAACAAGCAAAGACAGGGTGTATATAGACAGGACTTTTCAGGCCTTATTTGTAGGCTGAAAGTCCAGGCATCTACTGCCTTCTACAGACCCTGGCTTCAGACCTTGGCACGGCAACAAACCACTAATGCAGAATGGAGTCTGAGCACTCCTGGCCATTGAATATCACAAGGGTAAAAGCTAAGTTTGTTTGGTCACTCAGCCAGGAAAGCCATGTATCATAGTAATGCAGCACTCCCTACATACTCTTCAGTTCTGGGTCACCAAGCGCATCTCTACCCGGCCTCCCACATAAAGAGTCAAAGCTTTCTGGGCAGTAAGAAGGCTTCTAGGCAGCATCTGCTCTGTCATTTCACGATTGTACTTCCCCCTGGTAAGCCACAAAGTTATTTCCCTTTTGTTATTTCCCTACTAGGCTACATCTTCTGCAAATTACCATCTGTACCTCCAGGGAGAAATCACTGTCCTGTGTTAGAAGAACTGGATTTCAACAGAGAGTGGAGAGATGCGTCAGGGATTGTGCTCTCCCTTCTGCAGCTGAAGAGGGAAAACAATTATTTTTTTACCTTTTTAAACCTAAGCAAGCTTCATTACAGTGAAAGCTTCTTAGTTCAGTCTTGAAAACTGTGGTTGCAACTTCCTAGGACGAGCATTTTTTCTTCTTTGGAAGTATCTCAGGCCTTCTGCCCACATAGCCCCATGCCCTGCACCTCAGGCTGCCCTCAGGCATGAAAGAACAGAATAAAGCATCTTCATAGATTTTTATTCCCCCCCCCCCTACAAAACATGAAAAGGCAGGAGGCTGTTTTCAACAGAGACCCGTTAGCCCTGAGCTGGACCACAAAGACCATTTAATCCCCTACCCTCCACCATAAGGTACACTTGAGTCATCACTACACAGTCTGGGAAAGATTCACAGAAGCTGACAACATGGCTCTAATCCCTCATTAAAAGTCATCTGCATGCCACCTTTCTCTAAAGAAGGGTTCTTGTCTTGGTTTTGTTCAGTTTTATTCTAAGAAAGCCAACTGACCAGTGTTTTTAACCTGGTTATAACTTGCCTCATTTATGTTCCCAGATTAAACAATTTACTCTGGCTTCAGCTGAACCTGTCTGGCAACAGGATGAGAGAAGCAGGAATGAACTGCATGCCAATCTCAAAAGCAGCAGCAAACCAGTGTTTGTTAGTGGGTTACCTAAAAAAACTATCACCTTATCTAACTGGACATCTGCTTTACTGCAGGTTCAAGAAAAGCACCTAGCCAAAAAACAGCACCAGAGCAAACACGGGATGCTTCCAGACACATTTTCAAGGCTCCTGAGGACCTCCCAAGAGGTCACAAATGTGCCACAAATATCTTCAGCAAGGTGCGGATCCTGTTGGGGTTTTGTGTTGGTTTTTTTTTTTCCCCATTACCATCACACTGCAGTATTCAAGAGGCCCTGCATCTGGACTCCACCAAGCAGTGCTTGGCACATAAAACCCAACTGCTTTTCTTAAGTTTTTACCCTCCAAGACAAAAAAAAACCAAAACCCAAACAAACCTCAACCCCAAGCTTACAGTTGCATGTGGTAACAGGCAACTCCCAGTCGACATTGATGACACCAACTATCAGGGTCTCAGCATCACCACTTTCAAGCACTTGCAGTGTCACAGGAAAGGTTGGTGAGGTGACATGAAGTCTCCTTCGATGAGATCTGAGTTCACGCTACATTAACACTGAGAAAAATAGAACTCTATAGATAACAGATGATGCAGCTTTGTTCACCTTGCCACAATCTGAAATACTGTTATTGGCACCTACTGGTCACTTGGGAGAATAAACAAACCAGAATTTAGTTTCAGTTGCAGGGTTGACAGATCAACCATGACCTGTAAAGCTCATCAAGAACAAGTGTAGTTGCTCAGGAGTTTGAAAGCTGAGAAATAATTGGATTTTAATAACTTCAGGTTTGAAGATGTGTCATTCCCTCAGCTAATTTGGAAACTAAAGAGCACAGATTTACAAAACAAACCAGCATTCCCAATTCTAAGAGCTAAGCATCAACCTTCCCCTAAATTGCCATCTTCTGCTGAGACCTTTGATTTGAACTAAGCCAAAAATCTGTTACTCACAATAGTAAAGCCGCATGTAAGCTTAGATACACCCCCTAAAAGAAGTTTTCTTCTTTAATAAAGTAATAACAATTTTATGTTAAAAAGCATCTGCAGTCAAGATAGGAATAAAAAGAGTTTCCAGAGCATTTATTGACTTCTGAATGCTTGAAAAAACACTATATAATTTTAAACAGAAAGTGAAGAAACTGAGGTTAGAAGTTTACTAGAACAAACCTTTAATGGTAGATCTCATTGCTCAAACCGTTGATTTCATGCAACCCAGGAAGGAAACTCCAGGATCCAAATCCTATAGTGATACAGTTTTCAGCTAAAAAGTGTATTGCAAATTTTTCCACATATGTAAATGAAAGGAAAAAGTGTTTATAAGCTGCACCAAACTTGGTTTACTACTTTCTGCTCCATCACATTCACACTGAACAGGCTGCAGGGTGGAAAGGAGGAGTTTAAGTTTATTGAGTTAATTTACTTAGCTTAAGGATTTACATACTGGAGAAAAATAAAAAATCCTGAGCCCTATTTACCTGATGTCACCCTATTCTCCCTGCTTTCCTTCCCTGCTCAGTAATCCAAACACCTTAAAATCTGCAAGAAAAAGATGGGGAAAAGGAAGAAGAATAACCAAGAGCCAGCTAACATCTAGATTTACAACAGAAGAGATCCTAATTACCTAGGTGACATTTTGGCCTTTTCTATATCATTTAAAGCCA